CACTGATTCTTTTAGAGGAACCACTGATTCTTTTAGGGGAACCACTGACTCTTTTAGAGGAACCACTGATTCTTTTAGAGGAACCACTGACTCTTTTAGAGGAACCACTGATTCTTTTAGAGGAACCATTGACTCTTTGTGTTAACATTGATTCTTTTAGAGGAACAACTGATTCTTTTAGAGGAACCACTGATTCTTTTAGAGGAACCATTGACTCTTTTAGAGGAACAACTGATTCTTTTAGAGAAAACACTGACTCTTTTAGAGGAACCATTGACTCTGAGTAAATACCGGTTCTTTTAGAAGAACCACTGATTCTTTTAGAGGAACCATTGATTCTTTGAGTAAACACTGATTCTTTTTAGAGGAATCGATTCTTTTAGAGAAACCTGTGACTCTTTGATTGAACACTGATTCTTTCAGAGGAACCACTAACTCTTTCAGAGAAACCTTTGACTCTTTGAGTAAACATAGAGAAACTAGTGAGTCTTTGATTAAACACTGAGTCTTTTAGAAAAAAACACTAGGTCTTTGAGTTAACACTGATTCTTTTAGAGGAACCACTGACTCTTTTAGAGGAACTAGTGAATTTTTGAGTTAACACTGAGACTTTTAGAGGAAACACTGACCTTCTGCACGGTTGAGGTGAGCTCCAGACACAGATGGATGATTCTGCCTTTGGTAGATGTGAAGTCGTTGGTGTTGTTCAGTGGAGTCCTGATGAACAAAATTTAATTACTGTAAAAACATGATTGAACGTTTTTAAGACAGTTCTATTAACTAGAATAGGTGAACAGATTGGACAATCATCATCAGAACTGTGAAAAGAGGTAGACTTTCTGAAGATGGACCCTTGTGGAAGAATGAGCCGAAATGTTACTGAAAACTGTCTGGTCTGGACTGAACAGGACTGGACCAGACCAGACCGGACCAGACAAACACAATAATAATCAATTAATTTACACCAAGATAAAAAGTATTACACATCCCAACACAACAAAACTTCATTTATGTTATAATATAAAACCAATAATAAAACTATAAACATATTGTTTATTATATTGTTCTTTTAACAAATTTTAATATTTGTTAAAAGAACAATATCATAAACAATACATAAGAATAAAACCAGGATTAGTATTAGTAACTAGTATTAGTACTAGGAACTACTATAGGTATTCGTAACTGTAAAAATGATCAGTTTTTACTTTTAAAAAGAAATATCTGTAAGAAAATTTTGTATAAAACAAGAAACATTAAAGTCGTTATTTTCTGTCAACAGACTCTTCAGTTCCTCCCCCTTCTCCTCCCTCTCTGGAGGAGAAACTAAACCAACAGGTTTCTGTTCTGAAGGCTGAGCCAAGCAGAATCCAACAAACAGCTTCCAGGGGTTCTGGGTGTTTCTGCCTGAGAGTACATGGCTCATCTACCTGTCGAGCCAGGCCAGCAGACTCTTAGCAGTGGTGATCAGCTGGACCACAGCGCTCAGGAAGTCGTTGGAGGGTTGAATGGAGGTTTTGTTCTGGTGGGCGGGGTTCTTCCTGCGCTGTAAAACGGCACCGCTCAGGTTCTGGTGGGCAGTTCTCATTGTCCCCACCAGACTGTTAAGGTTGTCTGACTCCACGCTGTAGTTCTGTTAGAGAAAAAATAACTAAGGTCAGAGGATGGGGTCAGGGGTTGGATCAGAGGTCATAGGTTGGGTTTGGGGTCAGGGTCAGAGGTTGATTTAGGGGTCAGAGGTTGGGTCATTGGTCAAAGGATGGGGTTAGGGGTTGGATCAGAGGTCAGAAGTTGGTTTAGGGGTCAGAGGTTGGGTCATTGCTCAGAGGACGGGTTCAGAGGTTGGGTCATTGCTCAGAGGATGGGGTCAGAAGTTGGGTCATTGGGTCAGATGTTGGGTCATAGCTTGGAGTCAGGGGTTGGTCAGAGGTTATAGGTTGGGGTCAGGGGTAAGACGTCAGGGGTTGGGAAAGAGTTTAGAGGATGGGGTTAGGGGTTGGGTCAGAGATCAGAAGTTGGGGTCAGGGTCAGAGGTTGGGGTCAGGGTCAGAGGTTGGTTTAGGGGTCAGAGGTTGGGTCAGAGGATGGGGTCAGGGTCAGAGGTTGGTTTAGGGGTCAGAAGTTGGGTTATTGCTCAGAGGATGGGGTCAGAAGTTGGGTCATTGCTCAGAGGATGGGGTCAGAAGTTGGGTCATTGCTCAGAGGATGGGGTCAGAAGTTGGGTCATTGTTCAGAGGATGGAGTCAGAGGTTGGGTCATTGATCAGATGTTGGTTCATAGGTTGGGGTCAGGGGTCAGAGGTTGGGTCATTGGTCAGAGGTTGGTTCATAGGTTGGGGTCAGAGGTCAGAGGTTGGGTCATTGGTCAGATGTTGGTTCATAGGTTGAGGTCAGGGGTCAGAGGTTGGGTCATTGGTCAGATGTTGGGTCATAGGTTGGGGTCAGGGGTCAGAGGTTGGGTCATTGGTCAGATGTTGGGTCATAGGTTGGGGTCAGGGGTCAGAGGTTGGGTCATTGGTCAGAGGTTGGTTCATAGGTTAGGGTCTGGGGTCAGAGGTTGGTTGGGTCATTGGTCAGATGTTGGGTCATGGTTGGGGTCAGGGGTCAGACTTTAAACTACACGGTTCAGATGAAGTGAAGATTCAACTTAATCTGCTGCTTCCTCAGATAGAGAATTTTTACTAATTAATGTTTTATAATTTGATGGAACCTGGTGGGAGGAACTTACTCCTAACTGGTAATCATCAAACGCTTCATTGAATTCAATTACTTTTGAAAACAAAAACGGCTTGTTTCAGGAAGAGGGAGGGGTCTGAGAAGTGGGTGGAGTCTCTGGAAAGTGGGAGTGGGGTCTTCACCAGGTGAGGGGTTTCTCAGTGCTGGAAAGGGGTCTATAAAAAGTGGGAGGGGTTTGAGCAGTGGAAGGGGTTTCTACCATGTGGGAGGAGTCTAGTTTTAACAGGTGAGCGGAGCCTCCCTCTAACAGATAGATGAAATAGGTGAAGTCTAACTTGTTCCTCATGTTCTGATTTCTGAATCTAAGAAATGCTGCTCGAGTCCAAACTGTTACGGACCAGAACGCAGAGCAGGTCCACGGCCTCCAGGATCAGCTCCTGGTGTCCAACCCAGGCCACGCCCAGACCCAGCAGGTCCTGGTGGGACATCCTGAGCAGCTTTTCCCCGTCAACCTGCTGCTGATGGAAGGATGGGATGTACTGCTGCAGGCAGTCCTCCAGCCCTGAGACACACAAACAGAACCTTCAGAACCTGAACAGAACCTACAGTATTCATGTTTTCATCAATCTGTTGAACCTGAAGGTCACTTCCTCAAGTGAACTTGACGTTGAGGTCTGCAGAGTTTCAGGTGGAGCGCCTGCATCTGACCTCGTGGTAAACCTGGTCCTGGGTGTGTTAAAATGAAACACAGAACCAGAACCTGCTGGCAGGTACAGCTCTGGGGATTCAGAAGAGTTAGGTTCTGTCTCTGTGGAACCATCACAGTACATCGGACCTGGTACATTGACCATGTACAACGAACAATGCACATCTGACCTGGTACATTGGACCCAGTACATTGAACTTGGTACATCAGACCCTGTACATCTGACCCGGTGCATAAGACCCAGTACCTCTGACGTGGTACATTGGACCAGGTACATCTGACTAGGGCTGCAACGATTAGTCAGCATATTCGACGGCATTGATTTATCACATCATGATACGTTAACAAGCTACAGCCGTCCTCTGCAGATGGGTAAACTTCATAGTTAGCTTATTTGTCAGGTTTAAGCATCATAAATCTTATTTTTAGTGACTGATCACTTTGTGCTGAAACAACTGTCTATAAGTTTTATTAGTTTACCATCAGAAAACGGTGTTTTTTGGAAGTGCAGCTGTGATTTATGTTAACGTAGCTAATAAGTTAAGTGATTCATATTAAATCACTGAATTACACTAATATTCCTTCCTGTTTCGTCTTATCCTGTTTTTTGATGACCTTGAAGTCTTATAACTCTTGACCTGTCACATCCAGCAAGATTTCAAACAGAATGGATTATTTTATGCATTTAAATTTTATCTTGTACGACGGAGTATTAGGGCCACACAACGAGATTTTTTAAATTTTTTTAAAATTACAAAAATAAAGTCATAATATTATGACATGAATGTTGTTTAAAATAAAGTCAATATTGTGAGAATAAAGTCGTAATATTACGATATTAAAGTTGTAATATTACAAGTTTAAAGTCGTAATATTACGAGAAAAAGTCATAATATTACGAAATTGAAGTCGTAATATTACGAGATTAAAGTCGTAATATTACGAGATGAAAGCCGTAATATTACGAGAAAAAGTCATAATATTACGAGATTAAAGTCGTAATATTACAAGAATAAAGTCGTAATATTACGAGAAAAAGTCATAATATTACGAGATTAAAGTCGTAATATTACAAGAATAAAGTCGTAATATTACGAGAAAAAGTCATAATATTACGAGATTAAAGTCGTAATATTACAAGAATAAAGTCGTAATATTACGAGAAAAAGTCATAATATTACGAGATTAAAGTCGTAATATTACAAGAATAAAGTCGTAATATTACGAGAAAAAGTCATAA